GTCAAACATGACCTTATCATAGTAATTAAATATCCTATTTCCTTTTAATTTTTAGTTTCTCCATATGTTGCTAGACTGCTGCCTGTAGAAAAATTGCAATCATGGCTGAAAAATTCATCCATGATCATCTAGAATTCATTGTTAATCTAAAAATGGTATTAACAGCTACCTTTTAAAGGGGATATTCGTGCAATTCCAGGAAAAAAAAATGTAACGATGTAATAATAAATGTTGATAATCTTTAGAATAAAATGATTCATGGGGCGCTTGACAATAATTTGATATCTTTCACTACAGCACATAAGTAAATCCCTTGCTAAAACGTTAATTAATTATATTAATGAATAATTATAATAAACTTTAGTTTTTGATATAACTACTAAAAACATATTTAAAATCAATTTCCATGTGTAAATACAATCTTACACTTTTATAAAATACAAATCAACCTCTAAATCAGTACAAAGTTTTGTTAATAAAAAGTAACTTTTAAGTAATTTTAGTTTAAACTTGGACAAAAATCACTATAAATCAGTATCACTATGATTAACATTTCGTCACAGGAGTTTAGAATAATTCCTGGCTAAATCAAATTACAATTAAGGACCGTTTTAGGTTGAGTTTAAAGAAAAATTACTTAAAAGTTACTTTTATTAACAAAACATACTTTTTGACCTTGGTGCAATGCCTTGTTTAGATAAGCTGGCGGGAGTGGGAAGTATGTAGAAGCAATCAACTAAGGAATAATAGTGACTTATAATACAGCTAGGGTTAGGGTTGCATGAGTGCCATTGATTATTCTTCGTAAATACCTCACTCTACATTCTTCATTCTTTGTTCTATGTTCAGAAGATACCTAAAAAATTAGAAATAAGTAAGGTCTAGCTAGGCCACATTTGGCAATGTTTTAGAAAAATCAAAAGTTAATTTTGATACTAAGAAAGTGTTTTTGAACATGTTTAAATAATTTTATACAAAATTAGACGAAATTTTAGAGGACGTTGCCTTGAGATAGTTTGCTCAAAGAATTTCACTACAAAATGTAGAAGTAAAAACAAAAACTCTACCAAACTGAGCATTAGAATACACCCAAAGGAACAAACAAAAGACGTGTATTTAATGGTTATGCAATAATATTCTTTTGAGAGAATAAAAAACAGTATATTTGTAATACTTAAATGCATTGATTCCTTGTAGTTGGTGGCAAATTTGGAAGGATTGAGAGAGAGAGAAAAGTGAATGAAGAAAACACAAGTGTATGGATTTACTCGAGAAGGGTTATAGTTTATTTTAATAGATCTTATGACGAGGTATGTAATAATACAAAGGAAAAGGGAATCCATGTTATCTTGTATCGAACTTATTCTGCATTTTCTTGAAACTGCATCTGCCTCCGTATGTCTTTTTGTTTATTTTTTTGTTTTTTGTTTTTTCCCAAAACTCGTGAGTTAGTTTAGAATGAATACAGATTAGTGTCAGCAATATTGAATGGGAAAACGTGCTTCACTACATTTATTCATGTAGTTTGTAGGATTTATTTGACTTAACTTTTGTTTCTACTTCTTGTAGATTCCTAACAATGTTACATCATCATATCAATTCTGTCCAAAAATTCTTCTAATTCGATAAATTACTTTCAGAAAATTATTCAAATATGTTCAAAAATAGTTTCTTTAGTTTAAAAAATAATTTCTTAATCTTAGAAATAGTTTTTAACTTTTCAAAAAAATCTTAGAAATAGTTTTTAACTTTTCAAAAACTTTGAAAAACAAGCATTTAGTCAGTCTTGAATCTCATATAGCCCACGTCATATACAATGTGTGTTTAACTGTAAATACATTGTTATACTCTTAATTAACTTTGGATTATTGATTTCTCAATGCCCGCATAATGCATAACAATCCCTAACTTAATGAAAGAAAGGAGAAAAGTCCTTCATCTAAGGTCCGAAGAAAACACATATCACATCGTCTCGGAGCTTAAATATTAGACGAGGAACGAATTTACTCGTTCACATCATTAAAAGGCTACCTCACATACAAGTGGGATTCATTTTCTTCTCCGAAGGCATGACACATGTCTTGAAGGACAAAGCTTGAACACTTTTGTTTCAAGCTTTAAAACTATCAACTGTTGTACTCTGGGCATGAAGGAGATATTATTCTTGCAATGAAGTCTCCAATACAAAATCCAATTTCACTGTCTTAAACTGGAATTTGAAAAATAGATACGATATATATTTAAGAAATTACACTAATAAATCGACACATGAATAGAGATTACAACAAGAGGAACAACAAAGACCTGATTCCCAGTTAATTTGAGGCCTGCTAGATGTACTAGAAGATATAAATTCAGGCAATTTTAATTCTAGTCTATCACTCCTGATTTTTACTAACGAGATCACGGAAAACAGAGATTAATCCCAATTTTATTTTTGAGGAAAACATGGAAAATTCGGGAAGAACTTGAAGGGAGAAAAGTTAATTATAATGATAATATTCATATCTTGGCATTTGATCAAACTAAAAGAAGATACTGAGGAGATAGACTTTCCAGCTGAAATGAACAAATTCAAAGTGATTTGTATGTACCATTTTTCAGGTTTCCCTTCACACCAAGCCGTAGCTCCAGATCCAATTCCTCCGTGGAGCTAGAACACAGTTTATGCATCTCTGACTGGGGATGACATCGATCAAGTACTGGACTCGGTTTTTGGAAGAAAATCAATGGATTTGCATCTATTCTCCTTCTCTTGCAGCTTGCAACTTCTTCATCGCTGGATGTATTTGTTAGAGTTGGATTCAAGCTCTCAGACGAATCCAAGGCCGGATAGTCTTCTTTAGCCCTATTACTGGATTCTGAAATCTTCGGTTTCTTCCCCGAAGAGGAAGGAATGGATAGTGACACCATGTTCTTGTGGTGGTGTTCTGGAATTATTGGCGAAATTGAACCATGGGAAGAAACCCTTTTTTGGGAACTCACTTTCTGGTTTTGGTCTGAAACCCTAACAGGATCAGGATCAGAATCAGAATTGGCTGAGTGGTAAAAGAAAGTATAAATTTGATCAGATCGAGATGGATATTCATGAAATTCAAAAGATTGGCAAGGAATTAGAACTAGTTCATAAGTTTGTGGAACTGGGGACTGCCTTAATCTTGCTCTATCTCTTCTGTGGACATTCATGTGGCCGCCTAGGGCTTGAGCGGACCTGAATTCTCTTCTACAAAAACTGCAATTATAAGATCTGGGAGGCCATATACACCCTCCAAGAAGTCCAGACGCATCTTCTGCAAAAGCTTGTTCTTCCCATGAATCGCCGTGTGAAGTCGCAGTGGCAGCCGGCGCAAGAACATGATGAGAACTCAACTCATATTTTCGCTTCGACTCAGCCGCAGCCCACGTCCAATAACCAACTTGCTCCATTCAAAATAATAATGATAATAATCTGTTTGAGTTTGCTGATCAGCTGCAAAAGGAGATGGAAATTATGAAAATGAGCAAATTTTGGCCAAGTTAATTAGGGGTGGAAGGTGGGTGTTGGGCACCCTAATTTTGGCTGTTTCATGCAAATAATGTTTGTTTATTTTGACCTTATTCTTCAACTATACGTATCATCACTAACATATATAATTTTGTAATTTCTTGTAAGGGTGAAGACAAGATTGTTTTGGAAATTCAAAAAAGTGGGTCATTAAAAACCTTGTTATGCGGTCTGGGGGTGATTGAAATTAGACACAAAACTGAGATTGTGTAATTTAACTGATAAAAATGTCTTGTAAGATAAATTCTGACATTTCTTCTCTTTTGTCTCAAGTTTTGTGGTATTTCCTCAAATCCTCTTATACACTAATTACACATTGCTCAGATTTTTCTTAATAAATATAAGTAAATTATTTTTCAGGTAATTATTAAGTTATTTGAAAGATCTATAACCACTGAATCCTT